TCAGATTTCCCAGCGTATGATTCGGTATACCCTGATGAAACCCATCACGACAACCCCTAATCACTTCATCTGCATCGTCATAAATCTTAAATTGGTGTACTAAAGACCTCCACCTAGTCAGGTTCAAACCGCACACTGCCAATTCCGGTGGCCACTTTGGATCATAACTCCTTCCTGAATTCACATAAGGTAAGAGCCTCACATCACCAACATATGACCAGCTGTCAGACCGCCTAACTTCTGGGTTTGCACTTGGACTCCGGATTTCAGATCTCCAGTCAAATCTACACCGCGGATATCAGGAAGGGTAGGATTCAAGTTTTTGGTCAGAACAAACTTTCTCTAAAGCCATCACTGCGACATTTATTTCTTCACATAAGATAGTAGGGAGCTATTCAAGAGTGGTCACAGGAAGTAACGAGTCATTAGGTAAGGAGTACTCCAACTCAACAGCTGCTACGATGGTAAACGAACCACCACAAGCCTTAGAGGCACAAATCAAGAAAACACACATAATCGGTCTTTAGGACAACGTTGGTCACTTATCTCAACCAGCAGTCTTGTTTTAAACAAGGAATTTTTGAAAGGAAATTTTTCGCTAGAGTATCATATCCTCAATGGCTTACTTTGCCTTATTCCCGCCACCATATTTTGGGCCTGTCACCTTGCGATCGCCTCCTCGTCGATCCTCTCGCCTATCATCCTTGCGCCAAGATCCGCCACTATCACCTCTCTGGCTATCATAACGATCGTCTCTACCACCACCACTATGATTGTTCCACGAACCACCTCTACCCCTTCCACGCACATTACGACCTCCACCTCTACCCCTTCCACGCAAATTACGACCTCCACCTCGGCAATCTTCATAATGAAGGTACCCTGAACTTCCAGGTCCGTCGTACACCGGCTGGCTTCCGTATTGTGCTGGATGATGTGTGAATGGTTGAGACTGATTTGCGAAGGCCCAAGACCTAGCGTTGGGTTTTCCGGGGTGGGTTGAGTGATTCATGTGTGAGTTCATGATGGTACCGTTTTGAATTACGTTGCCTGGAAGCAGCTCCCCAGAAATGGGATTGATGTTGGATTTGCATTCAAAGTCTGCATAAGGATTGATATCACCAAACCGAGGCTGAAAGTCGTTCATCCGCTCACTATCAAGCCGGGCATTGCGTTCTAAGGTTTCATCTCTGATGGCAGGATTGGCAAGTTTACCATCTTCGTTCTGAATCGTCATCACCGTCGTCCTAACCGCCTGGTCATAACGAAATGCCATAGGCCAACATAACCGCTCCGCCTTGATTGCCAAAACATTTGCCTTATGAATTAGGAACATATCTGCCAGCTTGCCATGGTCATAATAACAAAGGTAAGACACAAAGACGTCGAAGGCTGTTACCCATTCACCAAAAGTCATTTTCCACTCATCCGGTATGTGTAATCCTGAATAACAAGTCTCTTCTTTATCTCCTTTAGCTTTTGGTTTCACTCTAAGTAAGTCTTGACGTAACCATAATGGATTAAAAATTGATAAAGGAACGTATCCGTCCATCGGTCTCATTCTATCATCCCAGTATTTCGACAACGCAACCAAACCGTGTGTCTGAATTCCCGCTTCACCAACTTCAGCTTTCTTCTTTGTCGCTGAATCCGTGTTATCTTTTACACTATCGTCATCGTCTTTTGTCAAGTCCCAGACTTTCTTTTTCGCAGGAGCAACTGTGTTGACTGGTGCCGGACCCGTTGATAAGGATGATGAAGAAAGAGGAGCCGATTGGCGTTGTCCTGTAACAGCTGAAGCTAGGCTTTGGGTAATCGCGGAGGTGACACCCTGACGGTTCGATGAATTCACATTGGAGTCGTTAACAACTGTTAAACCATTGGCTAGGAGCCAAGACTGAAATCCTTTTGGAGGACTCTCTCCGACGGCCGTGACGGTAGCTCTGCGGTTCGGTGAACGCACTTTGAAACGAAAGAAACGAAGAAAGGGATTTATTTTGGTTCAGTATATTGTTCATCTTATTCTCTATTCACAAGGCATCACTATTTGTGGCATCACTATCTGTGGGTAATTTTTCATCTTTGCAACAGCGGCAACACCAAATGGTGGGTATGATCATCATCTTGTAGCTTACAGCTGGGTGTAACAACCACGTTATCTCTTGCAATTAGACCACCGGAATGCAATACCGACGTTCCACCATTTCCTTGTGCGGTTGCGTCGACTGTCGGGGCTTGGAGAGTTGATGGTGGAGGTTCTGGGCCGGTATCTAAATCACCTGGAGCAGGTAATGCAGGTGGGGGTAGGGTGTTTGCTCCTGGTACCGTTAAGGTCACAACAGGCGTCGAGCTATCCACCGCGGAAGATTGACCACTGGTCCTAGTAGACAATGTACCATCACGACGTCCGCGTCCACGTCCTCTCCCACACTGGGCAGTAGTTCTGGCCGATATAGCATTAGGTACTACTGGTTCTGAGTCTGGCGGTGGGACTGAGCCACCCCTCAACCTATCGCTAGTTCTCCTTAGCATCTCTTGAAATTTTTCTGTGTTAGTGTCCTGACTATTGTTGGTGGACATTGGTGCGTTTTAATTGATGAACGTTTGAAAGGTTTCCTTTAAGAGAAGAAATTCGAAAAAGGAGAAGACAAGCAAGAGCTTGTGCTTAGAGAGAGAAAAGAGGCGATAGGATGATTTCCCGAGACGGGCGTGAGAGAGTGGGAATGGGGAATAGACGCGGAGAAATTTTCTATGAAGATGGAGAGAAAATTTTCCACAACCTTGACTGTCTCAAGTTGCCCATCAGAGGATATCCTTTCCCTGTCCAGGGATATCCTGTATTACCCATAGTCCGACATCCGCCCGTATCGTGGAAACAGACGGTACCGTCGTGCCTTTGGGTACCGTCATCCATTCAACAGTTTTTGTTTGTCTCTCAAAAGTTTTTTCGGGCTCTGTTGCATTCTTGTGCCTGTTCAACTCATGTTATCTCAATGCCTTGTGGAATGAATAGTGGCAATAAAAATTACTCACCTTCTCTCTCGTCGTTTCTCCTTTGGCTCTCATACACATCCACTTTCGCGCGGTAAAGCTTAGTCTTTGCCACTCGGATTCTAATGAGTAGTCGGCCTTTAGGTGCTAAGATGAAAAGAAGACATAAGTTTTGAAATACAACTTCTGATGGGGAGGATGGGACTGGTCCAAACTTTTTGCATCAGGCATATCTCGGTAGTGGTCCCCTCCAAGCTCATCAACCAATTCATTGATCTGCTCATCAATGATAACTAAAGTGTGAGGTAGATGCAATATTTTTTGTTTTTCCGCCACAGTGCGACGCTGTATCTGTTTGGCTCGCAGAGCTTTCAGTTCGTCGCTGGACAGGAAAGAACGCCAAATTCACTCAAATTAACATAGCACATAGCTTGACTGCTCTCAAAGTTGAACTGTACTCAACTCAGCCTCTCGATGCTGTTCTTCCAGCTTGACCAAGCACTTGAGCTTTTCAGTCAAGGCATTTGAAGTCTCGTTAACCATGGAACGAAGTTGACTAGCTCTTTGCTTAGTCCATTGTGATTTAAAATATTAGTTTGTATAGATAGCACTTTTTCAATGCAATGCATTCAACTTCTGAATGCTCTGTTCTCTTGTTTTTTTACTAGATTTTAGCCGTGCCAACAACCATTGTACTGTTGAAAGTAAAGACCAATTGTAAGAGTGTGGTATTATCAAGAGGTGATGACCAATCAGAATATGACTCACCAGATCTCTTGCACTTACCCTCGTTTGTGTGGCGTGTTCGTAAAGCCAACGCACAAAGCCTGTGAGCTTTTGTTGAGTATCTCAGTGCTCCGACTAACAAGGCCAGGCTGGACCAAACTCGCTCTAACCCTTCACCATCCAAAAGTCCCCAGTCTTCGTTCAATCTGGGATTATATTGCAATTGACAAGCCCATTGATGGACGTAAGAATGAAAGACACTGGTCCCAAACTTCAACCTTCCAGCCCTCCGCTCTTGAACAAACAACTCCCGCTGCTCACCCACATTCAACAGCGCGGTCAGTCAAACATACTCTTACACAAAGTCTCAAACATTCACCTTGATTATACTTTTCTCCAAATTACATCCTATGTCGTATAGAATTCCGAACCTTCGCACTTCACCATCAGCGTTTGTAGTAGTTTGCAAGATCCAATCAAGCATTGCAAGAGGATAATAGCCACTAAAGGATAAATAGAGATGTGAGTCCATACATACAGTCATCAATTAGATGACTGTGCCTACCGTTCTCCCGATTGAACAATATTGGTGAACTTGAGTAAGATGTCATGGCGACAAGCCATACCCATCAAACCCGTCTCATCGCATCCACGCCAGGTCTGGGCGCCTCGGGTATCATTTGCTGCCGTATGCTGTGCGCTGCATGGATCCTGTTTTGGAACACAAATTCAATCACCCCATTTCCAAGATCTGAGATAGATATGAACCTCTCACCACCACATCATCTACAGGTTGACCTTTCTTGACTCGCTGATTGACAGGTCCCATCTTTGTTTTCCAAGTCAACACTTGGCCTGGCGAGAGAAAAAGTGAAGGTATAATGCGAGATTCACCGTGCCACGCAGCGCTTGTGGCAAGGTGTTGACGTTGTTGAAAGTTTGCATCGAGGCAAACAATGTGATCTGGTTCGTTACCTCGCTTGCCAAGAACCTTAAGACCAAAACAGCTAGGACAGTTTGCAGCTAGGTTATCCATAGGTGTTAAACGCAGAGCCGATGTCGCCATTTTGTCCTCCATGCGCAGCATTTCTCGGTATGCATCGACTGCTGCTGAGAAACACCGGCGCAAATCTCGAGTCTGTCAAAAAGTAGCGGTTGAATTTGTTGGTAATCAAATGATGGATTTGATCCAACTGAACGCCCACATTATCAGTCCCCGGAACCTTGAATAGGGGATTTCTAGGATCTAAGTATTTGTCCAGTGTGTCAGTGAAGGCGGCCAGTCAAACACTAGAATTTTTCCACAATGTATGGTGGAACCGCAGCAAGCGAATTGAAAATGCTGTTTGTGGAAGGACGGGCTGGGAACCCATGTAGCCAAGCCGAACTAGTCGAACCAAGTCTGGTGTGCAGTCACACACCTCAACCAATAGCTTCATCTGACCTGGGTGGGTATGTCAAGTGATTGATTAATACACACGAATCCTTTGATAACATAGAGAAGACGATGAGTCTTACTTTCAAAGTCGACTGTGTCTACTTCCACTTTTCGTTGTTGCCAATCTTTGCATCTACAGGTAGGATTCCAGTCTCGATTCCAAAATACTCGATCACACCATTGATACGTTTGTTGGCTAACCATCATAAAAGCCAGGAATACCTTGAGTAAAACTGCCGCCCAGTGAGCCTCTTCTCTCAGTGTACGCTCCTGGTATGTAGTACTTTGATAATAGTCGGCTCGATTCACCGGAACTTTGTTCTCTTCGCCGTCACTAGAACAAGCTGGATCGTTGCCATCAACCCTCGTCAAAATGTCAAATAAATCTGTGTTGGTATCTCTAGGTTGTTCGACTGGCTGTTCAGGGGGAGGTCGGTTCAACAATGCAATGGCGTTTCTTGCCGCTTCGTCTTCTTTTGCTTGCTGTGCTGCGAAACGCTGAGTAGCTACACTGCCATTTTTTGTGGCTGGCTTGTTTTTTCGCTTCTGTTGCATTGGGATGTTTTCACCAGGTAAAGGCATTTAAATGAAAATGAAAGATTTGAAAAATCCAATGAAATCGTGAGGTTGGAACAGAGTGATGTATGGGATTTTCACAAAGTAGTTGGATAAACTAGGACTAACCAGGGTGACATGAGACTAGGCCAAGTTACCACCAGTGCCAAAGTATCTATTTGATTATTAAATCGGGCAGATATCTCCCAATTGAGTCCGTGTATCTTGCCAAGGCAAAAGCACCCCTGGCTGGGTCACCCAAATGGTAATTACAATGAGAGAGTGTACTCTTATTCTTAAGAGAATAAGAATACAATTTTGATTCACTTTAAAGATTCTGTTAAAGTGCATAACATCCACAGATTGTCTAACCTAGGACTTCTGACCTGAAAGACGGTACAGATCTTTGGGTAGACATTTTGTTACTTGAGGTATCAACTCATTGCAATATGCACCGTATAATTGGTTAGCTTAATTCACCTATCAACTTACTTCAATATAAAGTTTCTTTCTAACAGATTATTGGGAAGCTGAATATAATGGTGGATTAAAATTATGATGACAATAGTGAAATTGCAATGAAAATGTATGTACTTGTTTTGAAAGATAAGTAATTTAGAGGGTGATATATGACAACTCCAAGGTGACAATTCTTTGTTTTGAGAGGGAAGATGAGGAGATATAAGAAAAGTTGAATGATGAAAAATGCCAGGCATGTGTGAAAGTACATTTAACAAAGGAGCAAATAGTCAATTTCCAACATCTTCAATGTGTTGGTGTTGAATTTGTACCTGGGCGGGAGAGAAATCCATGATTTTCCATATTTGAACTGGTTTTTGAGAGGGAAGATGAGGAGATATGAGGAAAGTTGAATAATGAAAAATGTCAGGCATGTGTGAAAGTATATTTAACAAAGAAGCAAATAGTCAATTTCCAACATCTTCAATATGTGTGATATGTTTAGCGCAGGTTTGTGGACAAATATGATATCAGATATAGCAACAAGAGTTATGCAAAATTTGTCAAACAAAACTTTGCAAGGTTTTTAACACAAAATCTTACACAAAGTCCACTCAAACTTCTTGAAGATGTTGGAAATTGACTATTCGCTCCTTTGTTAAATATACTTTCACACATGCCTGACATTTTTCATTATTCAACTTTCCTCATATCTCCTCATCTTCCCTCTCAAAAACCAGTTCAAATATGGAAAATCATGGATTTCTCTCCCGCCCAGGTACAAATTCAACACCAAAACATTGAAGATGTTGGAAATTGACTATTTGCTCCTTTGGTAAATGTACTTTCACACATGCCTGGCATTTTTCATTATTCAACTTTTCTTATATCTCCTCATCTTCCCTCTCCAAAACCAGTTCAAATATGGAAAATCATAGATTTCTCTCCCGCCCAGGTACAAATTCAACACCAACACATTGAAGATGTTGGAAATTGGATATTTGCTTCTTTGTTGAAGGATCTTTCTTATACACCTGACATTTTTGATTCACAATTCACCATCAACATAATCATTTGTAGACCTATTCTTAAAAAAGATCAGTTCAAACGTATTGTGTAAGGTCCTAACAATGCTGTTCCAGAACCGCATTGTGTCACTACCATCAATTATATGATGGTAGTGACGCTCTCTACCACCTTCAAACTTCAAAACACACCCACCAGTACATATGAGTACATATGCACCTTCTTGAATAAACTTTCATTGCCATTTTTGACTGATTCTCAAGTTTCATTTGTATCATTTTATCCAGGATTGGTGGTCCTTAACTTGCTCTTCAAACATACATGAAGCACCTCAGTATATACTTTGATGTTATCTTACATGATGGCTACCATCATCCACGAAACTCAAAGATAGCGGTCAACACAGATTGATTTATTCATTCTTTGCCTAATTCACAAAACTTTGAAGTACAGTTTTGGCCTTCCAGTATTGATTAGATTTGGAATTTTATGAAGCAGAAGTTAAGCTGCTAAAAAATCAGATTGAGCTCAATGATCTAATAGCTTTTGATAAAGTCTTGATTGATACTTTAAATCAATCACCATATTATTATGAAGAGTCCTTTGAATTCAAATTGAAAACCAGACTATGATATATCAGTTAAAGTCGGGTACGAGTCTGTGAAGTTCAAAATGGTTGAAGATATACGTTGAATCAAGAAGTAACCATTCATTCGATGCTGTGAGTTCTCAAAAGTTCACAAAAGTTCAGCCAATGTGACCGGTTAATTTGCTAGATGGTGTATGAGGTATGTGCTTATGGAGGTTTTCTAAACCCCGACTCTTTTGGCTACAGAGGCTACGTATCCATCTCTCACCTTTTCAACTGCAAGCCCTCAGCTTTTCAAACAAATCAAATTTACTAAATCGATTCAATGGTTTCTACACGATCTAATCCCTTGACTCAAGATGCGTCTGTCTCCAAAAAGAAAACCGTCAAGAATAAAGGTGCTTGATCCAAATCAAAAAAGGTCCAAGCGACCGGCCGTAATTCAACATCAACACGTTTGCTAGAAGAAGAAGAATTTAATGATGGTTTGATTGAAGGGACTAACCATAGCAAATTACCCGTTACCACTGATAAGCCGACAAATGAAGCAGCCGAAGGAGTAATTTTCAAATCTCGCTTTCCTGGACTAGAGCTTGACAATTTCGAATGCAAATTACCAGATTGGACACTAGTTAGCCTTTGCGAGGCTATTTCCAAGCAAGATTCAAAGAGGAACAAAGCACCGTCCGAGATCAAGACATTGGTTAAAGGTATCCATTTGGAGTACAAAAAGAAAATGTTGATGGCAGCCCTGATGGGTGGACTTCCTGAGATTGTTGTCTGGAATCTAGTGTAAGGCAACACAAATGTATCTCATCAGAATAATGAATGTCTAACTTACCTTGCTTGTGGTTATATTTATCATCAGGGGAGAAGGGGCAAAGAAGGGCCATGCGAATCCATGGATCCGCTTCTTGGCGTTCTGTCCTCGTGCGCTGAAAGAAGCATGTCAGTGTCATTCTTACGTATTGATTTTTCCAAGTGATTTGTTTCTATATTCATCCAATTCTTGATTTTACAGTACCCGAATCGGGCGACAAGGATGGCTGGACCGCTCGAAACCAAAAAGTTGCGAAGATATGGAAAGACCTAAGCAAAGATCAGAAGACCGTCTTTCGAGACCCTTATTTTTTTGCTTTGGCTGGCTTACCCGACCTGTCCAACGTGCAATTTGAAGGTGATGGTGAAGTCCTTGATCCAGAAGATGGAGACGTCAACACAAGCCTTCAGCACCTGGATGATTCGACAGTCGCACCTCCCGTTCACAAACTCAGTAGTGAGGATCGATTAAAATATCAGCCTATATTTGAAGAACTGGTTGACGCTGCTAAGCTTCACCTGTGTTATGGAAAACCTGCTCCTTCGAGTTCTGTAGCTACACTTCAAAAAAAATCTATTGTTGAGCTTCGAAAAGCTCATCATGCTGTAAGTACAATACTGTCATTCGATTTTCACAGCACAACTAATTTCATCCTTATCCATCCTTAAGTTTGCTGTAGTTTGTCAAAGATATCAAATAACTTATTATTTGGCTGCTGTTAGTTGTGGGAGCACAGAAGGCTGGAATCAAGTTTATTCAAATGACACATCATTTGCAAATTGGGCATCAAAGGACGCCAAAGTTCCGGACTCACTCAGATCTTACATCCACGGAAAGTCGGCTGTAAAGATAGTTGAGGGCTGTAAGGTACAACAACCAAGCGACGAACGTAAGACTTGCCTGGGAAGGGAACTCAACAAACTACTTGGTAAGAATTGTATACCTAAGTACCAGATCATTTAGTCTTTTTAACAAACTTATGATGTTTCTTGCTGGGCAATAGATGCTTTCCAGAAAGGCGAGACATTTCCTAAGCATGATGACCCTGTGGACGAAATCAAGATGAAGGGATGGCCAATTCGTATTGTTCAAAAAGAAGGTAGTCTTCTATTGAAAGAAGATTTGCACGCAGGTCATTGTCTTGCTAAGAGTGCAACGGTCAAAAACTGGCTGAAGGATATTGAAGAAAAACAATTTCTCATTGAACAAATCCCCGAGTCAGAACTATTGAATCGCCAATCACAATCTCACAAGTCCAGGAAGAAGAGAAGAGCCAAAAAACCCAATCAAGTCTCTACCCAGCATTCAACTTCAAATCATGATACTCCACGTCACAACTCTGGTAACCACTCCGATGGTAATGAAGACCCTCAAATGACTCAGGGATCAAATTTGAAATCTAGCAACTTAAAGCGCAAACTTCAAGAATTGGCTAAAGGGGATGGTGCGCAGAGAAAGAAGAACCGTGAACAATCGCCATCACCCTCTGAAGACTCTGAGTCTGATTCTGACACTTTGCCCGACTGCAATAGTGATGATTGATTTTCTCTTTCTGTCTCATCTCAAAAAATTATTTTGGTATTTTATCAAATACAAAGGGGATGAATTCTCAAATCTTTGTATTCTTCTTCACAAGATTTATCTCATTTGCCTTTCTGATCTTATGAATCTACCTCCAATCTTGGTTGTATCAACTTAGGTTATTCAAATGGCCTTTGGTGAATAGTATCCTAGCTGCTTGATTTTGGTATATCAATTCTTTAATCTTATGACATATGTACAAGTGTCGAGGTTGGATCAGATCAGGTCGAATTGATCAGAAAGTTTGGACTTGTACAATTGAGCCTCGGTGTTTATCACTTTAGTCTTTTTTTTGTTTCAATTGTTCTATGATTTCAGTTTATCTATTTTTTCATTTCCTTTTCTACTGAAACTAGTCGATCGAGGTCCCTTTTACATCATCTTGACTGTACATACTATGTAAGTACAAGTTTGAGTGCTGAAGCCGTGCGGCTTGTTACACATTCATTATACATTCATTATAATAATGTGACAAATACAACACGAGAGATGGGAGCAAATGGCAGGGAAAGTTGACTTGATTCAATGAATCGATTCGAATTGATTCAATGAATCGAGTCAAATTGATTCATTGAATTGATTTATTATATTTGATAAGTATCAGTCTATTAACAAAGTAGAAAAAGTTAGTTGTTCACACATGAAGACAAATATACAACTGTCTGAAGCAATGGCCGAATCGGAACTGTTCAAGTTGGACATTCAGACGACACATACAAGTGTCCCTGAATTTGAGCCGTTGGAATTGATGGGGAGTCCATTGGCCAAATTTTCTCGGTCAATCACTTGAAGAGATGGTGTAGTCAAACCTCAATTGGAACACATGAGGTGTTGTGTTCAGGAGGGGAGTGATTTTTGCCGGTTTGCTGAGGAATAAATATCACCATGACCACATATGTATGAAATCGAGATATTATAGAGGAGTTTGATACACTACAAACCCTGAGTGAGCAGGGGGATGGTGTGGAGTATGTGAAATCAAGACACCAGAAGCGAGAAGTGGGTACTTTGCCCACAAAGCAACGTACAAAAAGAAAAAAATAAAGTGTTCAGAGCGCTCTGGGACCTTTCAGAGCGCTCCGACAGGTCTACCCAGAGCGCTCTGGTGTCCATCAGAGCGCTCGGACGGGTCTACCCAGAGCGCTCTGGTGGCCACCAGAGCACTCTGAAGACTCCATTTTTTTTGGGTGAGGTGAGATTTCCAAGAGCTCATCATGAGTGGGGAAAAGGTGTGCACTGACTGTTTTCAGCTCAAAAAGTTGATAAAGTGATGGAATGAGTGAGTTAAGGTGTAAAAAAGGTGTGCTCCAGAGCTTCTGGGTGCTCTGCATGCAAAGGACCGGCTTCTCAGTCGAACGTACAGTGCACTGTATGTTCGACTTGTAAGTCTCTCGGAGCAGGTGCCACAGGTGACAAGCCTGGTTTATCTTAACTCGTTCTACGTGTAATAAAAATTTGGTTGTTCATTGATATTTGATGCGTTAAGTGTTTGTGTGTTTTTACAAAGTTAGAGTAGCGATTTGAATTTGATAACAATGTAAAACATATTTGACACCTTTAGACCTTTTTCTGATTGTAGTTTCAAGGAATGGTTGTATGAAAAAAGATATTTAACTAAGTTGTTGTCCTATGATGCAAAAAAAACATATACCTGGGGCACCAGAGTATTCACACGTGGTCCCCCACCGCACTACTGACTCGGCCCTACAATGTTTGACTGCGCAGATCGGACGGGATGTGGTAAGTTCATTGCACTACATGCAAGGTGGTGACGCCGCGGGTGCGGGGTCGCGCTGACCCCGGATCGACCCCCCGCTTTTGCAAGACCCCCCCCTTGGGTTTTGTGCAGCGTCACCGCGACCCCGCATCCGTGGGGTCAGCACTTTGCATGTAGTGTTGTGGTATGGCCCCAGATGACAGTCTTTACTATTTATTGGATTAATAGATATCTTAAAATTCATTATTGCACACTTAGACTATATTATTAGACATTTATTAAGAACACCCTTATAATCATGTTAAGACTTTACCTATTTTACTGTACCCTTATATGGAAAGACTTGTATTTATTCAGACCTTTATATTTAGTCAAACCCTTATATTTAATCAAACCCTTATATTTATCCAAATAATCATGAAGAGACACCCTTATATTATATGAATATATAATTAAATACAATAGTCTAATATTTGATCAAACCCTTATATTTCATTCTATCATCATATGATATAAGAACACACCCTTGTGATTAGTTGTGCGCATTGATACCTTTATATTTCAAAACCAACACCTTATAATGAATTATTAGACCCTTATAATTGATTAATTACACACACTCATATGTGGTACCCGTATATTATAATAACCCTTATAACTAAATGCGCACTCTTACATTTAATACCCTTATATGTTAATACCAACACCCTTATAATTAAATGCGCACTCTCACATTTAATACCCTTATAACTAAATGTGCACTCTTACACATTTAATACCCTTATATTTATTTAAACTCAATACCCTTATACGTTATTACCAGCACCCTTATAATCAAATGCGCACTCTACCCTTATATTTAAATATATAAGTCTTATATTTAATTGCACCACATTAGAGTCTTATAGTCAATATCCTTATATTTAATTACATTAAATGCGCACTCACATCATCACCACCTTTATGATTTAATACCAACACCCTTATGATTTAATACCAACACCCTTATGATTTAATATCAACACCCTTATGATGTAATACCAACACCCTTATGATTTAATACCAACACCCTTATGATTTAATACCAACACCCTTATATTTAATTACATTAAATGCGCACTCACATCATCACTACCCTTATAATTTAATACCAACACCCTTATCATTAATTATAAGACCCTTATCATTTAATACCAACACCCTTATCATTAATTATGAGACCCTTATCATTTAATTCCAACACCCTTATAATTTAATACCAACACCCTTATAATTAATTATAAGACCCTCATAATTTTATAATTAAATGCGCACTCATACATTTAATACCCTTATCATTTAATACCAACACCCTTATAATTAATCTCACCACCCTTACAATTAATCTCACCACCCTTATAATTTAATACCAACACCCTTATATATTAATACCAGCACCCTTATAAATTTGTAAAGACTATAAGACCCTTATCAATCTTTCCAATGAGCACTTTGAGGAACTTTGTACTTGTGATTTTTTTCACTTTTCTACAACCAACACTTCATAAAGACGACTTGTCATAAGACCGCATCTTCATGAAGTGTAAGAAGTCTAAAAGATCAAAAAAGTTCAACAAAGTTGACAAATCTTTAGAACAAGGGATGAACCTCAGCAGATCGTAGCAACAAGGCTCCTCTACTGCTTACAGTACCCCGCTCTGATTCAGTCGTCTGCAAAGGATTT